CCCCCAAAACCCCAAAACCCCTTGAGGTCAAATGATGAGAGTAGTGTTAATGAGTGAAATGTTAAATTATGTATATATGCAATTCTATCTAACTATTTACTAAAAAAGCTCAAGAGTCGGAGACGACCTAATTTTATACTATTTAATATTTTACGCTCTGTTATTACTGCTAAAGTGCTATGTTTTGTTAAATACTATTATTAGGGAATAGCTACCTAGATTGAGTTGAGTAGGATCCAAATACAGTTGGTAACGGTGTTGGATTCTAATTACTCATATAGAGTTATTGTAAAAGTAGAGGCTATGATTAAGGAGAATATTGGGTCTGTATTTAGAGAAGTCTTTATCCATCTCTTAACCCTTAGAGGTACATCTAGTGCTATATGCTTTAGTTTTAAGAAAGAGAATTGACTTTAGTCATTTAGTTTAGTAGTTAATAGTTGTTAATATATGGTTGAAGTTAGGTAGGCTAGATAAACTGATTAATTGGGTCGTTTTAGTTTAGAGAGATGGAATTTGACTGGGGTTGTTACACTCGTAAAATTCTATGATATTGTGGAAACTAAGAATTGTATTATTTATTAATTATTTGGTTCAGTGGAAGTTAGAGTCCTACCTGATTGATATGAATGCTTGGGCTATTATTAGATTATGATGAATCTTTTGAGTCTCTAGTAATTTATTCTAATTATATTTATTGATCATTGGTTTATTTCACATCTTTAATAATGTTTGGGTCTTGCTTTTATTATTAATTATTTAAATTGAGATTGGAAATATTTGAATTTACATTATTGGCACTTGACTATGTATTCTCTTTTATATTATTTAAAGTGAGTAATGGTATTTTCAGTCCATTTTGCTATGTTGGTAGTTAAGTGTCAACATCTTAGGTTTAGCTTTTTAGTGTGCTCGTTAATGTTGGAAATAGTGATTTGTTCTCTAGAGAATTTGGAATAAATATTCTAAAATGTGAATTATAATGTTAATCTTAATGTTAGATGGTCTCAAAATTAGGGTTTGATTATTAGACTAAGCTTGCCTCGCTTTCTGATTTTTTAGTTTCCAACTTTTCCTTATCTTACCCGCAAATATTGTTAAAAATCTTCTTTCGTTTGAGTGGTTGCCAGTTGCCAGATAGCAGAGAGGCCTTTTTCTCAATATCTAGAGAGGAATTTTCATTTATATTTTCTGATATATTTGTGGACTCCATTTAAGAAAATGTTCTTTTTAGATCTGATTTGTCAATTGATGATCTTAGTTTATTTTTTTTATTTAACTCTGAGTTAAGTATCCTATAGTCTTTTTTATTGAATGAATCGTGCGTTCTTCTGTGAAGTGAAAGTTTTCCTCTCTGTCTAAATGATTCTGAACATCCGTCAACTCCGCACACAAATGGTTATTAGTTAGTATGTGTAAATTAATGTTCTCTGAGGTATTATGGAAGTGCGAACACTTTATCGCAAAATTCACAAGCAAAAGTTTTTATCTTGCTATGGATATAATAATGCCTTTTTAATGAAAATTTAGTGGTAAATTTTTTAAAACAGCCTGGAAATTGGCAATCGAAATTGGATTCAGAGTCTTGATCCATGTATTCAGCTAAGTATTTAGAATTATAATGTAATAATCCCTCAAGCAGATATCTTATTAAAGTTGATTTTCATAATCTGCCTCATTATCGCTACATGTTAATTTCTCTATATGGGGTTTTGGGGTTTTGGGGGGATCGGAAGAGC